TTATGAATCACTTTCTTTTTTCATCTTTGCTGGCTCATAAGCATTCAGCAGGTGCTCAGGGCTTTATGGTTTGCATGGTGCTTCTTTTTTGACTGGTTTTGATATGTTTTCTGATTTACTTCTCTTGTAGCTCATATGTAGCTCATTGCTCAGTTCCTGTAATTTTTCCTCGGAATAATGTGGGCTAGCCCTTGTTTAAAGAACATAATACAAGGCCATGGAAGAGACATGGGAACACAAACTAAGAAAATTCAGAGGATGAGCCTCTTGATCTGCAATGATCTTTGATTCAGCTTATGAACTGTAGCCATGTGATGGTTATTTTTTCCCTAGTTCATCTTCAGACCCTACTACATTTTTTCTTCATCTACACACACTTGCCAGAAAGTAAAAGACTATTAGTATGAGCAGAAATCTGTAAGGAACTGTGTTTCATTTAGTATATCCAGCTAAATCTCAGGTTGGCACTATTCTGCCTGTGACACCTGTGAAAATCTAGGGGCAAATCTTCCATTTCCAAGCAATTTTCAAAACTATTTACTGTTTACATACTAAATGGAAAATGTTATGAAGGGCACCCTTTTAAGCAGAGTTTGTTCTTTTGCTGTATGTTGTCACAAGTGAGACAGGGAAGGCCCATTTTAATAAGTGTCTAATCATTTAGATGCAGTATCTTATTTCACCAGACTGTCAAACAACTTGGCAGACTCAATGAAAATGAACAAACAGGTTCAGTTCTGAACACAGAGTAACTCTTGTCTAGCAAGACAACCTTACCCTGCAGTGGATCATCTGGCAGAGGAAAATGCAATGCTCAATTTGCCACCATTTTCCATTAGCTTTGGCCCAACCTACACTGCTATTGAGTTACTCAGAGCTGGAATAACTCCTGGTGCTGTTCTCCATTGGAAGCAGAACTTGGAGGAAGAGAAAACAGACTGGTGATGAAACACCACAGACCTGCCAAGCCAGGCTGATTCCAGCCATATTGTGATAAAAAAAAAAAATTATATGTACACCTATATATGCACGCATACATAGTTTTGCATTAAATAAACTCCACTAAAATAAAAGTGTCCTGGGCACACTGATCAAACAGCTAGTCCAGTATCCTAAAATTGTGCTGGAAGGTTACTGCAATTTCCATTCCAGACATCTGCCACATCCAGCCTCCTCTCTAAGCAGATGAAAACCAGTGGAGCCAGATGGTGATGAAAGTTGTGAGGGCAATGCAGTTAACACTTGTCCCTTAGAAAGACAAAATGTGATTTTTTTCAGCATGAGCATGTTACCAGGGCAGCAGCCACAGCATTGCAGGGCCAGCACTGCTCTGAGCCAAGGCTGTAGCTGCAAGAGCATCCTGGAAGGGACAACACTGGAGCTACTGCCGGAAGAACTCACTGAATGGAAACAGGCAGCCTACTTTGGTGAGGAGGCAGGTGGTTTTATTGAAATGTATGAACAGCAACATTTGTGAAAGGAGAAGGTTGAGTTACTCATGGCTGAAATAAGTTTATTCAGCCTTTGATGAGAAAACTTTTGTCCAATACATTATTCACTGGCATTATACAACCAGTTCTGGAAGGAATGTGTTTAGTCATACCATCTTGAAATGGCAGAATTCCGGATTTGGTCCAAAATTCGAGAATGTTTGAGATGATGTATACTGTAAGCCTTTCTGGGTTTACTGGGATCCAAGGGCTATAAGAAATGCCACCCATCCAGCTTTAAAATAATAATTTTTTCATGTGAGAAATGTGGATAAAATATAATTACAGCAAGGCTGTGAGAAAATAAGGGGTTTCAGTGTAATTCTTACCTGTGACCAGCAATCTCAATATTAAGTTAGCTGTTGTATAAGTAAAAATTTATTCACAATAGCCTTCAAAGAATAGCTTAAAACTTAGATATTTTCTTTTTAAAGTTTTTACAATTCTGGGTGAACATCGATGCAAATGCAAACATTTACAATAGAGCTGCAAGACACAGAGCAGCATTCATTGTTGTACCATAATAAATAAATCCACTATCGCAGAATTATGCACAAAAATATGGATTTTATACACATGGATGTGATTAATAAAAATTGCAAGTTTCATAAATACACCAGAACAGTAGTGGGTTTTATGCTATTTATGGCTAAATTTGTCTCTGCAGTAAAAATAGTCCTATTGCTGAAATGACTGCCATGTTCAAAGTACACACCACTGACCACATCAACAAACACAAGGGGAGCAGGCAAGGGGAACAGGCGCAGTACTGATCTCTACACTTCTGCACCCATTCATACATGCCTGGGAATTCCTGTCCCCTTCAGCACCATTTCCTTTTCTAGCAAACTCCTTGGGACCACAGGTTAACCTAGAAAAACCCTTTCTGTCATGTTGCTGGATGCAATAGTAATGGAAATCTGAACACATTTCATGCACAACAGTATATAGGAGGAATTAAACTCCTGATTCACACCCCATATATTCAGTTCTTTATGATGCTGCAGTTTGAAAATTCACCAACTCAGTCTGATAAATTGTTTGACTATGCTTTCTTTGTAGCCAAGACAACATCTAGGAGATGTTGTCTCTCAGAGGTTCCCTCAATGACTCTCTGACTTACTAACATTTTTTTTTCCTTTTTGCTGCCAACACATTAATTTTAAAATGAAAGATCTCATATAGTTTTGTAGGTTAATATGTGAATGCTGACTGGAAGCACTTGGTAACAATGATATTGCTGAGGCCTGCTATCACAAGGCATAAACACCTAGCAGATCACTGATTTCATCTCCAAATGAGTTGGTATGCTTGCAAAGATAAAGGAATGACTAGATGTGTCCTCACTGTGCATCACTGGTGGCTCTGCTCCTGCACCAAATTCAGTCAGCACTGCACTCTGATGCCAGACATGCTACAGAGATTTAAGGCAGCTGAAGACCCATCCCACAGGCTGCTGTTCCAGGTGGTGGTGAGACAGAAGGCAGAACGGCCTGGGTCTCACCCGGCTAAATAACATGTCCATGGGTGGGTGGATCATTTGGGATTTTGTGGTAACTGGTGAGAAGATAAGTGGCAAAAGACTCCTCCTGTCACAGCTGGGTCATTTGGGCAGTGAGCAGTGAAGTGGGGCAGACACGCTCAGATCTCAGGACTACCAGTTTCAAAATAAACATCTCTTCCGTAACACAGCAGAGTCCTGAAGCAGATCCCTTGACACAATCCTATCTAACCAGTCGGTGACACTCACTGCAGGCTGAGAGAACGTTATTTTTTCCAATCTTTCTGTCAAAATTTTTTGGTGCAGAGTGAAAGTAAAATCCAAACCCCAGAACTTGCTCCCAAATGGAGCCAACCACCAGCTCTGGATGGCCACGCCTTCCCCCACTTCAATGCAAATCAGGAAGTGTTGAACCACTACAACTCAAAAAAAACCAAAAAAGTTCACTTGATTAAGTAATACAAAAGAGCCAAGCCCAGTTGCATACTGGGAACATGACAAGGTAAACATTGTCACAAAAAGCTATGAACAACCACAATGACCGTTCGGTCCTTCATTCTTTCAAAACCTCTGTCACCTTTCTCAGGCTTTTATGTGATACATTTTTAAGCTACAGACTTCTAGTAAAATACAAGTTTTGATTGCAAACTGGATTATCTCATGAATATTTTGCCAGCCTATTTGCATAAAAGATCTCATCAATTTGTTTTTCACCAAGAACATTCCTTAAGGTATTAGAAAAAAAGGTCAGCTATAATTCTGAGCTCCACTTTTGAAATACTCACTGAGCAAATAAAACTTATGCAAAACACATGGAAATACACTAAAATAGTATTAAACAGTGTATTAAAGAATTTTTTTGCAATATTTGCAAGTTGTATTATATTTGGAGTTCTAGCTGTAAGCAAAGAAAATGTTGCAATGTTTACTGGAATTTTGTCTTGCACAGTTTCAGTAACACAAAATACCCACCTACCACTGCATCTCTGCTCAGATAGATTTCATGCTGGCCATGCCTCCTCTGAAAGTCAGACCATACTTTTTATTGTATCTTTATTGCAAAATCATGAGGCAGCTCTGGCAAGTGGACGGGATGAAAAATCTCCATTAACGTATTTGAAGGAATTTGTTCACACTGGACTTTGGGAGATCTATGGTACATCTTAGTTTAGTTTGGTCTCTGAAAGCCACATGCAGATTTTGTATATACAAAACTGTATTTTTGCATTCATACCACTCTAAATCAGAAAAGATAACCCTGAATTTAGCCTAAAAAAGAGAGTAAAGAAAAGGTTCAAGCCCATAATTTTATAATTTCATAGTTACTGTGTTGACATTAAAATAGAAGTTATCCCTGCTGCTTCAGTTAAATGCCAAAATGTTTAAGGAAAACAGACCCTGATTCCTGACACATTTTTCAAAGTGAATACTATCTTTGCTTCTGTATGGCAGAAAACTTAACAGATTGCTGTAATATAAAAACTACAAAAAGGATGCAGCATCTGTCATTGTTCCAATTTATTTGTACTATTATTCCTACTTCCCCACATCTCTTCCTCCTGACCTTCATGCAGATGCTGCCAGTAAACAAATTATTCTCAGCTTTAGGTTCCATAACTGCTCCCTGATCTTGTTGTGAGAAGCTCTGGTACTGGATTACAACATTTTTGTGTTCAGTAACACTGGGGCACTGGAGAATTAAAATAAATTAAAAGCAATCAGGATGCTATTATGGGTTCTATGTAGTGTTTGAAGACCATAGTGAAAAATACTGTACATCATAGTATGAGATCAGGAGGAGAAAAGGGCAGTATGAGAAGGATACAAGGTTACTGAATGGCTTTGGACTGAAATAAAGCACTTGAAAACCTTTCAGAGCCAGATTCCACCCTTGAATAGCAATGGGAACTTTACAGGGGTTTTGAATAAACTATAACATCAGATATATGATAAAGTTCCTCTGCTCTGCCAAAAGCAAGCAGCCCACTCCTCAAATGAAATCCACTCACCTGTGAATGATGTGGTATCTCTGCAAATAATCCAAGGAAAGAGCCAGCTCACAAATGTACAGTTTAACAGTTCCTTCATTGAAGTGCACGTTCTGCTGCAAATGGTAACGCAGGTCACCGCCCAGTAAGAGATCAACCACCATGAACATGTCCTCTTCATCTTGAAAGGAGTACCTGGAGGAAAGAGTTACAGCTGAGATCTCAGGGGGAATGATTTTTTAACCATACCTTGGGCTGGCTCTCATTAAGGAGATCCTGGTAGGTCCCTGATTTGCTCAAAAGGCCCACACATTTGCTCAAAAGAGAGGCATTTTCACTGCTGAGGTCCAGTTCTGCAAACAGGCCTTGACTGTGGAACTCTGAATGTTTAAGTGTCGTGCTTTAACCCCAGTGACAGCTAAGTACCGTGCAGATGCTCTCTCACTCCTCTTTCCCCCAGTGAGTTGGGGAGAAGAATCAGAAAAAAGCAAAAACTTGTGGGTTGTGATAAGAACAGTTTAGTAATTGAAAAAAAGAGAAGTATAATAATAGTACTAAGGATGAAAACAGTAATAATTGCAATAAAAAGGAGAGAAAGAAAGAAAACCCAAGAAGAGTAAGTGATGCACGACACCAGTGCTCACCACCCCCTGTAAGTGGCCTGTCCCCCAGTGGCTCTCAGCCCTTCCAAATCTCCCAGTTTATATGAGCATGATACTTTATGGTGTGGAATATCCCTTTGGACAGTTTGGATCAGCTGTCCCAGCTCCTTGTGCAGCTCCTCACTGGCAGAGCACGAGCCACTGAAAAGTCCTGGACATAGAGTGAGCAATGCTGAGCAACAGCCAAAACATCAGAGTGTGATCAACATTATCTCATCCTAAATTCAAAACACAGCGCTGTTCTAGTAAGAAGAAAACTAATTTTATCCCAGCTGAAACCAGAACATGAAGGCCAGCAGAGCTTGAGCTACTGCCACACTGCTCTCATTTTAAACACGGATTAACACCTGAATGCTGATAAAACAGAATTTAAAATACCTCTAAGATTTTTACATTCTTAAATAACCATATTTTCATTCAGGTGACAAAATAGCTTACAAAGTAGTACCAATAAAATGGAAGGCCTTGATACACACTTGGTATTTACACACATACAGCTCTAGTTCAGTGCTTATGGAAAATATCCTGGTAGCATTGAGAGCTGCTGTCTCAGGGGTATTTTCCAGATTCAATAAATATACACAATGTTCTATTAGCTGAGTATTTTTTACAGCTTGCAGTGTAGGTCCAAATTCAATAAGGACTAAAACTGCAATTTTACTGCCTAACAATACTTTTTTTTTTCAGTCAGCAACCTATATCTTATAAAATGACAAAGTCTTCGTGGTTACTGACTGAATTCTCCTGGACCCTTTCCCAGAACTGCCTGCTGAACACTCTGAGGACCAAATTTTGATGTGATTTAAATCCTGTAAATCCAAAGGTGTAGCCAGTCAATGTATTTATGTATATATATACATATATAATGTTTGGGCAAGCAGGAATTTCCATGTGTTTCTACTTACCTTGGCTCTGCTGCAATTGCTCTGGTTTTTTGTGGTCTGAGTGAACCGACAGAAACTCTCTGGATTTAGTTTCTAAATGCAACTGTATAAGATACAGTTTTCCCAAATGGGAAATGGTAAATACCTTACTTCTGATGTGAAATCACTCTTTTCTTAGAAAGTGTTTTAGAATTAATTTTTATGTGAAGTTATATTATCTTATACCAGGTATATATGGAGCACTGAGAGGTGATCCACAGTGATAGTGCCTCTTCCAGCATCACACCATGAGGTGTGTAATGTACGTTGGCTACAGATATGATTCTGTTCTCCTGAACTATAAAATTTATGCCAAGAAAATGGAAAAGTGAGAGCTTCCAGAAAATCTGTGCACACCCTCCCCCCAGAGGCAGAAAAGTCTATATTAGATTATTTTAATTGACAGTTACGTACAGTTTCACTTTCATTCCCAGGCTTGCACTTACTGAAATGAGGCACTGCTTGGGGGTTGTCACAGATGGTTCATTTTAAATTTAATGCTTGTTATTCTTTCTGAACACAGTTCTGAGAAGTGACTTTCTCTCATACTCTGCTCTTCTGTTGCATTTCCATGTGGCTGCCAAATGCCAGGAGGGGAAAATAATTTTATTTGCATTAAGCTTACTTCTCAACAAATCAAACCTCTGAAGCAAAATGGCAAAATAGGTGGCACATGGTGTCTGCTCACCTCTAGAGAGGCAGAATTTTGTATCACAAAAACATATAAACAGGATGACTCCAAATACATTCAAATTCCTCCAAGTATTGTGCATTACTGAGCCTGGAGCAATTGCAAAAGTAAAGCTTAAAAGTGTAATTACATTTAAGATTTTTTTTTTCTTTTTTGACAGTGTTGTTATTTTAGGTGAAAGAATTGTAGCATTGAGCAGTAGTAAAATCATCGTCATAAAATGGCTTTGGTTGAAAGGAGTCTTAAAAATCATTTGCTTCCAATCCCCCTGCCATGTGTAGGGACACCTTGCACACATTAGACCAGGCTGCTCAAAGCCCCATCCAACCTGGCCTTGAACACTTCCAGGGACAGGGCAGTCACAGTTGCTCTGGGCAATCTGTTCCAGTGCCTCACCATCCTCTGAAAAATGTTAATTTTTCCCTTCAGTTACCACTTGACTAAGGTACAGATTTTGTTTCCTTCTTTTTTATATCATTAAAATAATTTTTGAAAAAAAAATTGCAAATTGAAAACTCTACTTAAATGGTAAGTGATATATTGTGTCTTTTCTGGGACTAAAGAGCACTCTTGGTGTCTAAAGTCATATGGTGACATGTCAGTAGAAATGGTACTGATGCACCTCTAGTTTTGATATAAATGTCCTTAGTAATTTTTTTGGGCATAGTGTGAAAGTGGGGTAAAGAGTGACTGCTGTGAACTTGATTTTAAATCCAATTATTATTCCCTTTTTTTTTTTTTTAATTATGTTTCAAGATGAATGTTCAGTCTAGAAAAAGACCCATGAGAACCATCCAGAAATAAATGTGCAATCTTGTTCACATCCAGGTAAATGCTAACACTTGGTAGAACATGATTTTCACTCCAAACATGTTTTTAGGCTGATATACTCTGGTTTTCTGTGCTTGTCAGCAGGGAATGTGGTCCTTTGCCACCTGCCAGGCAAACTTTTGCACATTTGTAATTATTAATTATTTAAAAGAGAGATCAAATAAAATCTTTCCTACAGGGCTCAACCAACCTGCACCCATTCACTGCCTTGGGATTCTCAGGGCATCTCTGGGAATCCAGACTGGGATGACAACAGATGGGTTTTGTCCAGGGCCTGTGAGATCTGCTAGTGAATCAATCTCCTGCTACCATGCCTTGCCTCTCAGGTAAACACATGAAGTGCAATCCCTAAGGACAGAGCTACAAGGCATTCCAGAAGTGACTGTACCTCTAGAATAAAATACTTTGAACCCAAACACAAAACCTAAATAAACACAACCCTCAACAAAACCAAAAATAGCCCCAACGACACCAAAACTAAACTGGGAGACCTTCTGAAGTACAGCTTCTGAAGGCAGCATTCCCACATGGGACACTTCTCAGATTTGTCTGGGCCATCTTGACTAGATCATGATTTGCTAAGAAAAGTTGGAGCAGATGATCCTTGAGATCCTTCTACCCTTTTATTCTATGATTCTGTGATCTTTCATGACCTGTGGAGGGAGCACAAGTCAGTTTTATTTAGATGTTGAAGGTAGAATGATGTACACCAAGACACAGGGGTTGTGAAGCTCCCTATATCCTCTCTGATGTTCTGCTCTTGCACTCAGAGTTATTATTTTTCTTTTGTACTGATATGTGTCTCCAGTAACTCTGCTAAACCTGCCAGAAGTGCTGGTTCAGTTAAGACAAAAGCTGTATGGGCACAGTTTGAAGGAACAAGCGCATGGACATGTTCAGTATATTGAGATTTTCCCACCCCCTCTGAATTCTATCCCACCTGACACACATCTTTATGCTACTCTTACACCCCTTCTCATGGGTAGTGGTGTCTTCCCCACACAGTTGATGCAGTTGGGTCAAACCTTCATGGGTGGCATTTCTCTCTCTGGATCAGACCACAGTGTCATTAAGACCACTTCAAGACATTTTCTGGAAGGTAAAGAAATTCATGCTAGTGAGACTGTGTGTCTTTGACCTAGAGGACAGCTTGGGCATGGCAAACAGGAGGAGGTCTCTGGAGCTGACAAGCACTCCATAAGCAGATCTTTCAGCTACCAATTTCTAAGCTACTGAATGCAGAGCAGGAGTTTCTCCAGGTCCTGCTGTGCAGCTGGGTAACAAATGGTATAATTTTCCTCCTATCCTGCTTTAAGGACTAACAGGACTTTGTGTACCAGCTTAGACAAATTTGGTTTGTCATGGTCACAAGCAATCTAGTCCTATGCCTCTCTCCCTCACACAAATCCAGTATTCTGCCTTTACATAAGAAATGAAATATTGCCTTTATGCTCTTATTCTATTGAAGTATTTCAAGAAAAAAGAGCTTTTGATATATTGGTCTAAGAATTGAAATAGACAAGTGAAATATTGGCCATGGGAAAAAGGAACCTTTGAAAGTGTTGCTGGTGGTTGGGGAGGGGCTGGTGGCAAATCAGACCAGTGGAGATTAGTTTTTGAGCAAACATTGTAATTTTACTTTTGCAAGCTTCTTATCTGTTCAAAGGGAAATGACATAGAAAAAGGTTGATTGGTTTTTGAAATAAACTCAGTGGTTTTTTTGGATTTTTGTGTTAACCAGGTAGCTGAGAAATACCTTCCAAATGAACTGACACATTGTAACTTATGTTGAATATTAATCAATTGATATTGAATACCAATAATACATTATTAGTTATCCTAAAAACAAAATTTTAATCCTCCTTGAAATGAAAGAGTAAATGACTTGAAATAATAATTCTTGTTTGTTTTTTTCCTAAGTAGTGTCATTCTCCAGTTATAGGAAAACTGTTCTAAATACAGACCCAGTCTCTCCTTTTGCTTAGTTGAAGAAAAGTTTGAATGCATTATATTAATCTTTCTCCAAATTATGATAAAATAATAAAGCCCATAGCAAACAGGGAATTGAATTTTTGAGTATCTTCAGAC